GCAGGTGGGGCCCAGATTCGTCGACTAGTGCAGCTTGCGAAACCATTCCCCAGGAGACTTTAAAACGGCACGCACATGGGAGCACCAGAAAAAGATTGTCAGAGCTGTTCCTCAGGAACAACAGATAGATGCGCTAGGCCAGGGGCATGCAATGCATTGCCTGTGGCGTACAAGCTGGTTAATCCACCGATCTGTGAGAAACCAAGCAAAAATCTGCTGCCGCTCTCGCGTCCTTAAAAGCGGCTGAGCACTAGCAGTGAAGGCCGGGTCAATGTACCCATTTCTGGAAGGACGGCTAGTGAGCTCTGCTTGCTTGTATGGACATTCGGTTCAGCTCACGTTTAGCACGTTCGGTATGGAACATGTCACGTCCCACGACACTCGGCCCTGCAGCTAGACCTGTAATAAATACATATTGGCAAGTCCACAGGAAGTGCCACTAACAGATGGGCTGGGCACCAGCCGAAGCAGGGGATAATCTCTCTCCTAACTCCGCAGCCATACCAGTCCACGAACGCGGTGAAACTAGCATCGTCACATCGTCCTCGACGGATCGGCATCCTCGGGCCGGCAGCAAAGACAGCGAAGCTGCGGTGAACTATATAGACTCAAGCGGGGCCAACATCCGTCGCACACATAGCGTAAAACCGGCCTAGTTATGTTAGCATCCATTTTTATACTCTGGGTGAGAACACAACAGCAATTCAAACATCTTTGATGCTCAGGCGTGTTTTCTCCTCACATATCTATACAAAAGCCTTGGCTCGCAATTCAAGCGGGGGTGACAATGAACATATTCGCAGATGCCCATGATTCTCAGAAAACCACGAAAGAAGGGCCTGCGTTGTTGAGTCCTGCCTGATTTGCGCGAAGCTGAGGCAAGAAGCCAATACCACGGGGGCAAAGCCGAAGCAAGAAGCCAAGAATATTGGAGGGGACGGGAACAAACCTCGGCATTGCTTGGCCCCCGTAGAGGAGAATGCCCCATGCAGGTCAAAGCCTCAGCCTGTGCAGCCCTCAAGGGCGCGGGGCCGTCAGCTTCGCAATTAGGTTGTATGTCAGTCTAGGGGAGGAATTAAGTTGTATGCTAGTTCTACACCCTACGAATTAATTGACGATTCTTATTGCGCAGTGTACCCATGCACAAGTAGAAAACGCTATTATCGTATAGACAAGGAAAATTGCTGACTATAGAAGTTGACTCTGGGATGGTGAGTGTGAGAGAAAGAAGAACTTCCAACATGATGAGATGATGCACGATCTCTAGCAACCCTTGCTCGAGCAACCCCCTTTTTCCAAGACGGTTATGGCGCACGTCGTAAGTGCTTACAGATGTGGCTCATGAGGTTCGGACAGATGCAAAGGCATCTGCAACGCTTCGCGGAGGATGGGAACCAAATACGTTACCTGTCTCTGTCACTCCCAAGACGACAAGGACGACTAAGACCGGAAGTTCCAAGACTCCAAGAGTATCGACAGCGCAATGGCGAAGAAGCAGTTGAAGCTGGAGATTCAAAGACTGAAACTAGCTGCCCGTACAATTAGTCTCCTGCAATACTTCTGGCAAAGCCCAGGCCCCAGACCCAGAATCAATTCTATCGTTGCCACACCCCTCCAACCCCTCATCATGGCCAACATCAACAAACACCAGCGGGGAACCCTACAGCTACACTGCCAACTAGCCGCGGCTAGCCACAAGTAGCGAAGTCAGCATCCCATTTGCTGCCATCGTCCTGGGAAACAAAAACGAGCTGTGACTTCCGACCCCTCCGCACTGCCTACAAGAGATGTCACCGATCTGTCAGACCGGCATCACTAGGTGCTAGCCTGCAGCACATTTCTTTTGATAAGTACAGACTGCGCTGCATGAAACCTACATCAACCCAAGTTCATTCTAAGCGTCCTCGTAGGGAACCATGGGCGGCATCTCCTTCGCTTGAGAAAAGTTCGAGTAGTCCTTGGGCGGATTGCATGCGCAGCTGCGCACTTCACAGGGCAAATCTGGGAGCTGCACTCGCTTGCTCTTGACGACGGGCCGATAGGGCGGGGTCATCCTCGGAGCCGCTTCAGACAAAGAGCCACATCAAAAGCTCTGCACCCCTCTGACCGCTGCGAAACGCTGTTTTCTCGCAGCCACTCCCTTCGCGGCATACCCGGGTCCTCAGCCCAGGCTGTTTAAACACCGCAGATGCTGTCATGTTCTGTACAGACAGCGTGACTCGTTCAGGGGTGATACATGTTCGATCTCGACGGCTTTGGCATAGATCGCTTGCTCAATCCCAAAACTGCGGCAAGCATCCAAGGCGATCTGATTGAAAGCAACCGACTTAGGAAGATCTACCCGGAGTCGAAGTTCTAATCCCCAGTCATCCCAAAACCGTCTTTCCACGAATGTTTTTTCCAGCATATTGAGCTTTCTTTCTCTCCAGGGCCTGTGGAGCGATGCTGCCACCTTTCGCCTGGGCTGCACATGGAGATGAGGAATTGACGCAGGATTCGCTCCAGGGCCTGTGCAGCGCAGGTGTCACTATGCCCAGCACATGCATGCGCTTGTGCCTCTGCTGATCCTCAACTTTTTCAGAACATGTCAACATGTGAGTGGCATCACCTCAGCCAGAACCTGCCGAATTTGTGAAAACACCTGTAACCGCTACTGCAACATAAAGTAACTCCATTAGACTGCATCTTTCTGCCGGGACGCCATCTGCTTTTGCAGATGGCGGATCTTGCGCTTGGTCATCTTCCGCTCCTTGCCGGCCTGCAACGTGGATCGGTGTAAGGCAAGCTGCACGGGGAGCGATCAAATGCAAAGCTCTGCGGCGGCAACGTCCAAGCAACATCAACGTCCGCATCAGAGATCCGTGGCTTCCGGACCTCCAGGAATGCGTCGAGATCGCTGAAATCTGATTCGGAGTCCTCGGAGAAGTGCCGGATGATCCAGAAGTCATAGTGTGTGGCTTGGCTCGGAAACCCCCCACAGAACTCCCAACGGTCCTCTTCCTCGAGACTGTGACTCTGCGGACCAACACTGCCTTGGAGGCGTGTGCTCCACTGGTCTCTGCTGCATTCTGCTGCATTCACCTCATGCCTCCGAGCGGCGACCTACTCAATTGCCGACCGCACTTCTGTCGCTGTAAGGGTCCATGTTTCTATGATCTATGGTTTGGGGGGCGTGCTGCTCGTGCTGAACAGATGCCAACTCTCCCGAAAATCACGTGACACGTCGGGGCTCCACTGTGCCGCCAGTCATAGGAATTGCGCTGGATCGGTCTTGTGTCTTCAATTTCAAGCGTGGAAGGGATGGGCATGTATTCATGTTACGTGCATGTGAACGTACAATGGCAACAACAAAGAAACAAACAAACAAGACAAAACAAAAAGCAAATAAAACAAAGGGCAAACAACAAACAAGACAAACAACACGATTTAAAACAAAAACAACCAACCAACCACCCACCCACCCAGCCAGCCAACCAACCAACCAGCCAAACATACATACATACATACATACATACATACATACATTCATTCATTCATTCGTTCATACATTCATACATTCATACATTCATACATTCAGACATACATACATACATACATACATACATACTTTTTTGGCTCCCACTTGGCAACGTCCGCAGACATACATACATACATACATACATACACACATACATACATACATACATACATACATACATACCGAAATGCATACATCCACGCACGCATACACGCATGCTGCATGCCCTCATGCATACGCACGAACATGCCAACATGCATACCTTGCCCATACATACATGCGTACATACATCTCATTCATTCATCCATCCATTCCATTCCATTCGGTGTCATACCACTTCATTCATTAATTAGTTATTTCAATCATTTCGCTGATTTCATTGATTCCATTCCATTCCATCCTGGATGGTATGGAATGGAATGAATGTAATTAACTGAAATGAAATAGTTGGAAGAACTACATAATGAATGAATGAAGTGGAATGCAACGGAATGGAATGAATCCTTCATCCATCCATCCATGCATCCATCCATCCATGCATCCATCTTTCCATCCACCAACCCATCCATCCATCCAACCATGCATTCATCCATCCATCCATACACCCATCCATTCATACATTCATGCACTCCTGCATTCATGCAGTCATGCAGTCATGCATTCATTCATTCATTCATTCATTCATTCATTCATTCATTTTTCCATTCCATTCCACTCCATTCCATTCCATTTCATTCATTTCATTCATTTCATGCGTTTCATTCATTTCATGCACTCATGCATTCATGCATTCATTCAATCAGTCATTCAGTCCTTAATTCATTCATGCATTCATGCGTTCATTCATTTTTCATCTCATTCCATTCCATTCCATTCCGGTCCATTCCATCCTTCATTCATTCATTCATTCATTCATGCACGCATGCCTGCATGCCTGCATGCATTTTCTCATTTCCTTTCATTTCACTCCAGTCCATTCCATGCATTCATTCGTTTCATTCTATTCATTCATTCATTCGTTCATTCATTCATTCATTTCATTTCATTCCATTTCATTTCATTCCATTCCATCCCTTCAATCATCGAGTCCATTCCATTCCATTCATTCATTCGTATATTGATCTACTTCATCTCATTTCATTCCATTCTTTCACTCATTCATTCATTGTTTTCTGATCATTTCATTCCGTTTCATTCTTCTTTCCTTCAGCCATTCACTCATCTCACCATTCATTTCATTCATTCATTCCTTCTTCCCTCCCTCCCTGCCTTCCTTACGGTTTAGGCCCTCACGAGGAGAGGGTCTTCTCAAACACAGCTGTTAAGAAAAAAAAAGACGAGATGAAGCCCCATCCATTCAAAATGTTCCATGGCCCCCAACTCCAAACCCGACAAGCTGCCCGCTCAGGCTCTGCGGTGTAGCAGTGGCTTTCGTGAAACAGCATCTGCGCTTGTCTCTCTCACGTTGTCTCTGGCAAGACCCTCAATTGCAGATCGGCTTACTGGACTCGCAGCCCGGTGGAAACTCGCAGTGCAGCAGCTGCCCAGTGCCTCGGAGTCGCAGTCCCACGGCTAAAGCATGTGTACATGAGTCGCCGCGGTGTTGTTGAGGCGTGTCCGCGTGTCCGCATATGTCCGAATCACACCCATCGGCCATGCCACAAAAATCCCGGAGCACTCGCCGCGCAGCCCAGGTCTCATCAGGCACACCCACTCTTAGGAAGTGGTGCCGGTGGGTCGCCAGACCACACAGAACCTGCGAGGCAAGATTTTACCTAGGCTTCATGCCCGCCTCTGCCGTCGAAAGCTCCTGATGCGCCATCTCGTCCGAGGTCTCGCCGACGCCGCGGCGGATGGCACCGTCCCGGACCTCCATGTGTTTCACAGAAGCATTTCACAGAAGGAGGTCCAACCCATCCCCAAACCATGGAGGATTCTTGCTCGCGTCTGTCAGGGAACCTCCGAGGCACTGACACCGTACCTGATCAGGGCAGGAGAAGCAAGTGGCACCGCAGCTCTTTCTTCCACCACTTTTTGGCAGTGGTCGGCCTCTTCAGGATCGGTTCAGGGCCGATCTTGCCGACAATGAGCCGAATGGGATCGATGAAATCCCGGAGTTCATCGAGGGGGACAGTTCCGTTGATGACCAGATGTGCTTTGGTGGCTACCACCGATGGAAAAACCAGGCCCGGACAGTCGCAGAGGGTTATGTTAGAATCACTGAGCTCCAGAGTTTGCAGGTGCTTCGTCTTGCCAGGAGTACGGCTCATCGACACTTTCTTCGCCCCAAAAAGTGCATTGATGACCGAGCTTTTCCCGACATTGGGGTATCCCACAAAGCCTACGATGCCTCTTCTGGAGCTGCTCCCAGGAGGCATGCGGGCTTGCAGCTCGTCCAACAACCGGCTGCAGTCCGCAACGCCACTCATCCTGTGCTCCGCAAGAGGACCGTGCGGCGGAAGACGTCGGGAGCTGGCGGAACTCTGCGCATCATCCACATGCCCCAGCTCGTCCTCTGCGTCGCTGTCAGCGAGGTCACTGGTGCTGTCGTCCTCCTCGACCTCATCCGCCTTCTCCGACGGGCGATTCGAGGAAGCGGAGGCCTGCTGCTTCTGGAGCTCCCGCAGGGCAGAGAAGAAGATAGTCTCCACGCCCCTCTCTTTCCAGTAAGCGGTCCACTGCTCGCGCCGCTCTGCATTCAAGAAGTCGGCCTTCAGGGCACTAGCTCCAGTCATCCCTTGCAAAAAACGCCCAGGCCTTGTTGAGCAGGAGGAGGTGGCGTTTGTCCGGAAACTGCTCGATGTAGCGCTCCAGATCCCGGCATCTGTAAAATTCAGGATCACGTGCGTCCAGGATTTGCACGAGGACCTGACGAGCACGGGGATCCGCAACAGCAGACCGAACGCACGCCGCAGAGGTGCTCCGAGGCGCGTCACTGCGTTCGACGCAGCGCCAAAGCTGGCGCCAGAAGTCCAGATTTCGCTCGTAAGGCGTCAATACCAACCCATCCTCAAAGGTTCGAGAAGCGGTACGGATGGTCGTATCTAGCTCTGTTCCAAGTTTGTCTTAGCACAGAGACCGGGCTTGCCCTGTCCTCTTCTTCGAGCTTTGCAAGCCCTCGCCTCAAGAATGACTCGAGAGCGAGTCGTGACGGCGCTTGAACCCCGAAAATCCCCGGAATGTAGCCCTAGCCGTTGCGAAAGAATCCAGCATGCGTGGCCCCTGTGCAAAATACCGGATTGTGTGCTTCAGATTCAACGTCTCTCTGGGTTGATTCGTTGCTGCATGAAAACTGACAAGCTGACCTGTCGCGAACTTCATCCAGGCCTCCATTCGAGGAAAGCTTGGCCCTCGGCCGAGGCCAGCTCTTCTGCGGAGGAGGCCTGGCAGATGGCGAAACTTTCGAGACCTCGGCCACCTCGGCCCTCAAGGCAGATCCACATGACTCCGTGCTTAGCAATTCTTGTGCTGTGTGCTGGTCCCCTTTTAAAACCGAAACGTTCTCGCCTCTTTCCAAGGCGGGCGCCAGGGGATGGGCACGTCCACTTTCTTGGCCTCGGCCTCCCTCTCCTTAGCTGGACCCGTGGTCCTTTGCGTGTGGATCTGGAATCTTGCTTCCCAAGTCTCGCGGGTGGCTGCCGGGTCCATAGCTGCTCGGTAGATGATCTCCTGAGCAAGGCCCACACTGTTGCTCGATCCATTTTCGAGACAAACCCCTTGCTGCACTGTCGGACTCCAATGACAGGGGGGAGGGGGGTGGGGCGGGGGGTGGGGGGGGTCGGGGGGTCCGTCGGCTGACTTTACCATTGCAGTCTGCGGCTCTGTCGTGCACTCGACAGCTTGACCTGCCGAGCTGCGAGAGCGAAACTCTCATTAAACCCACCAAACTTCGGTGGGGCATCATGCAGCCATACCTCTGGATCTATGGCAGAAGCATCTGTCCGGATCCTTCGGCTGTTAAACCCCGGAATGCATCATCGGACAGCCTCTCATGGCGTGGAAGTCGGCCTTCGCAAGCCTCAGTCCGAGGGGCGGAGCACCGAATGGACGATGGCCACAGGGCTCCGATTGCTTGCGAGATGCTCCGCTTTGGCGATAAAATCATCCAGCGAGGTTTGCTCGAGCACCGACCTGTGCGCCTTGTCCTCCGCGACACCGCTGGCCTTGTAACCCTGTTCCGCACGCTTTCGCCGGTCATTGGCCAATGAATTGCCCAGCCCGGCGCCGGATTTCTTGCGGGTCATGGCGGAGAGGACAAAAAAAACTCGAGCACTGCGGTCTGCGTCATTATGTGGACTTGAAGCCTCAATCCGAAAACCCAACAAGAGGTCACTACACGAACCCTATGAACTCCCAAGAACCCGTGTTGAGGCCACCGCCTGAGCGTCTCGAACGCTGTCCAGTCGAAACCCTTGTAGAAAGGATGCCTGAGCTCGTTTGGCTCGTGCACAGCCGGACAACCCAATAATTTCCTGGACTGCTGTTTGAAGATTGGCTCCATGATTCCCCCGTCTCAGAAACTCAAAGGAATTCCATCCTATGCGCCGTGCTATGGCGTGCTTCTACAGTCGCAGCTGCTGGAGCGCAGAGGACAAGTCCCCCGTTGCAATGGTGGTGCACTGAAGGCTTGCGTGGAGGTTCAACCTTTTCCCCTGCGGCTTGGAGGCTACATGCAGCTCAGTGCTTCTGGTGTGTGGGAATTGGGTCCATTCGGACATATAAAAAAAGGAGGCAGATGACAGGATCGCACACCCTGACACATCATCATCACCATCCTCAGGCTCTCGATGTCCAAGCAGCGACTTGATGTTCCGGCTGCCACCCTTCTTCATGGGAAGCCTCTCCGAAGGCTCGTGCTTGCAGAGGCTCTTGACCAGATCCTGCAAGCTGGCGCGGACATGTCTAACACCTCAAACACAGAGGGTCCCTCACAGCTCAAAGGCATGACTCATCCATTAAAAACAGGCGAGACACCAGCTTGAACCACACAGCGCACAAACGTAACAGCCCTAGAATAACTGTATGCAAACGTATCACAGCTCGCTGGCTCGGCATTAATTTATCCAAAGGAGTCAAGAACATGCAGGCTTTACAAACATCACAACTTCCCCGTAACATACCGTGAGCATTGTACTTTGGCAGGCCTCGCGAGATTTTGGTCATACATCACTGGCGGATCTTGAATCTGGTGCTGCTTTGTCACATCGGCAGTCGGACAGCCAGGCGCGGGGACCCGTTCGGTGACGACCAGCCGAAGAGTCTTCCGCGCTACTTCTAGCCATCAGCTCGACTGTCTTGTCCAGGACACCACACAGCACTCATCGAAAGAACAGTGCCAGCAAAATGGACTGATGCAACTCACAAACAGGCAAATCTCCCAAGAATTTAAACAGGAGGGCTCAATGAAGCCGAAGGCTGAACAACAATTGCAAGCACCAGGAAAAAAGCTTCACGACTTCAGCACGATGAGCCCACAGACACAGCCGCCTGGTGCAAAAACCACCTTTCCCAAAGCCTATGAGCCCACAGACACAGCCGCCCGGTGCAAAAACCACATATCCCAATGCCTATAAATCTCAAAAAATCCAAAAAGCAACCAGACGCCGCACAACAGCCGACACCAAGCTCCTCGGCTGAGCCCTTGCACTTCGGCAGGAACGCCACCTCTCCCGGCCATGCCCAGTTCGCTTCACAGTGGCTGATAGCTCTGACAACAGCTGCGAACATGCAGGCCTTCGCGATGCCGCGCATGATTTTCTGGTAGGTCCTCCAGGCTCAGATTCTGCCGCGGCAGATCCCAAACCTGAAATCACGGCTTGGTTCCGGGCTGCATTGGGTACGAAGACTCGAAGGGCGGGTGGCCACCTCACAGTCAGATCTGAGGGTCTTAGAGTCGGCCCTTTCGATCTCTGCGTGCGACGACTTTGTATCACGGAGGAGGTGCAACTTCGTGGCATGAGACCGCTTGAGCCACGGTTGCCCATGGTGGTCTACGCTCTCATTTGGGCCTGTGCCTGTCCACCAGCGTGACAAAGCAGAAGACCAAACAGCCGTTAAAAAGTCCACTCAAAGCGGTCAAGTTCACTCAAACTGTGCTTTTTCCTGGCCGTCCCTGCAAGATGGTACCATATCCGTAAAGGAGGAAAATCGGCTGGCTGTTTTTCCCCGTCCCTGGGAATTATCCACACACGCCTAAGAATAGTGAGCAGCGGGCACCACAGATATCTCGGAGAGAGCAGTGCAGACAGAACGAGTTCTCGCCGTGAGCCCTCAGAGCCCGAAGAGCCCAGAAATCACGATCCCTCAGAGCTTTCAGAACAAAAAAGCATGCAGAGCGCTCACAGCCCTCAGCGTCGTCAACACCCTTGGAGCCTCAGAGCCCTCAAAGCTCCTCTCAGAGCGGTAACGAGTCCCGACAGCCCTCAAGCAGAGCCCGAAGAGCCCCAACAACATGACTCTCAGAGATCTCAGAGCGCTGAGAGCCCTCCGAGCTTTCGTATCTTTCTTATCCTTCTTCCGGACATAGTATCGATCGGTCCCATTGAGCCCGTGTCCACATTGTCCCCTTGACGGATCACCATTGAACCTGCTTTGAGATGGGGCAGGGGGTAGCCGATCTCGGTGCTTATTTTCCCTGGCCCCGGGTGGATACTGCCGTTTTCGAGAACATATAGTTGAATCTGTCAGCACGGGCTGTTGCAACAGGTATGTGAGTTTTCGCACCCCCTTCTTTCGAACCAAAGCAACAAAAAGAGACAACGGGACGCTCACAAATCTTGTGAAAGCGAGGCCAGCGCTGAGGAGCTCGAAGAGGAAGATGCCCAGTGTCCACCAGTCCACTGCGTTCGTGTGACCTCTACTACACGGTGGCACCATACTCTCTTGGTGCATGGTGCGACTTTGAGACCACGGCCAGTAGATGCGATTAGCTCTGGCGCAAAATAGTCCGGCGTGCCACAGGCAGTGTATGTCTTGCCAACACAAATCTGACAGGCAGAGGCGGGACGTGCAGCAGCGACCAAAGCAACCCGCATAATGCATACCAAAACTGCTTAGCCTACCGTGGCACACCTTCGCGAGGCCCATGTCCGTTAGCTTGATGCAGCCTCTTTCGTTGAGCAGCAAGTTCTCCTGCAGATGCAAGACTTCCTGGGCAACATACAAAACCGCAACATAAAGCAGAGACATGCATGCAGGCACACCGTTTTCCCGCACAAGCCCTAGGCTCTCTGTTCGAGCGGGGCGTTGGTGGATGGGGCTAATGGCTGTCCACCAACTGCCCGCCGGGGATGCGCGCGTTTAGTTGCAAAGGCCGAATCTTCAATAAGGGCATCAGCTCGTCGCGCGACTTCCCCAATGTGGAAATACCATTCATGTCCATGATTACCGCGCCCGGCACTAAGCCGGCCCTCTCTGCCTCGCCGCCTGGAACGATACTTCCCACACAGGGACGCTCAGCCTCCCACACGATCTCAAAGCCAAGTTTCTTTACATGCTCATCGAAATGAAGCTCAAGGCCCCAAGCGTGCGAGTCGGACTCACTGTCGGGATGTTCGGCTTCTACAGGTAGTGCTTTCAGCGTATCTTTGGGCGAAGGCGAAGCATATTCAACAGAGGCATCAAATGCAGCAGTTGCAAGTTCAGGCAGGCTGTCCTTTGCAGCGATGCCTTCAGGAACCTGGCTTCCTCTGCTGGATTCTCGTGTGTGGCCAGTACGTGAGCTTGGTGTGCCAGCAAACTCAATTTGAGGAGCTTGGGCTTGGGCGTCGAGTTCGCAGAGCTCGCTGTCTGTCCTATCATCTCGTTGCAGCGCTCCGGCTTGCGCTTGCTGCATTCCGGGGGCCACAGCTGGAGAGGGAGATCCTGGCTCACCCGACGTAGTCAACGTAGTCAGTGTTGCCACAAAGGTCTTCGACGGTTTCAGGGTGTCGCTTTCTCTCTTCAAGCTGTCACGCATCCCAGCTACAGCTCCGGCGACCTGTCCAATCTTCTCCGTGGCGCCAAGCAATGAACGGCTGAAGTCGCCGGCCAGAACATGAAGATGAGATGCACATCTGTCATCCAACTGCTTCAGAGAGCGCCGGAACTGTTCCATGCATTGGTCCTTGCTTCGCTTCAAGGCTGCTTGTTGGTCCATCTTACTGGCAAGCTCTTCCACCACTGCAGTCTCCATGGCTGCCATCTCCTCCAAACGAGCCTGAGGCCGCCGGAACCAGCTCCGGCTATTCTCCTGGCGTGCGATGCTCTGCAGCTCAGCGGATGTCCGCTCCTTCTGCTTCAGGGTCTCTGCAACCGCTCGCGAGCAGACCAGGTCCTGACAGCAGAGCTCACAAAAGCCGCCTCTTGAAAGCCAAGCTGGCCTGGCACTCAGATCCCTCCTACTTGTCCTGCTGATCAAGCTCCAAAAGCCTCAGCCTCTCCTCCACGCACTCTTCCTGCACGTCAGGTGCGCTAATCAAGAGTCCCTCCATTCTCTTCAGACTTCGTCCCTGCCTTCAGGCTGTTGGAGAGTGCTTCCAGCGGAGCCGTCACCCGGTTCGAAAGATTGGCGGCCAAGTCAGCCAAAGCCTGTCCGATGTCCTGGAATGCGTCGATCATGGCCTTAGTCCCAGAAGCTGCCGGAGGATCTTTGTCCTCGAGTTGCTTATGGAAGGTCGCGTCTGCCGCGATGCTCCTCGTACTCCGCAGCAGGCCCGCCGCAGCAGCCTGGATCGACTTTCCAGCCACGCGAGTGGCGTGCAAGAGCGGGGCCAGGCTCGTCACGCGAGCGACCAGCAGAGCGTCCGCAGCAGCTGCATCCCGCAGCTCATGAGCCTCTCCACTTCCACGGCCTTCAAGGTAGGCTTCCCCGCGCCGAGCATTCGGCGCAGGCTTAGGCCGGGCGGAACGGATCTTGCGTGTAAGCTCTTCATCCAGCCCTGCGAGTGCCATTGCTACCGGAACGAAACCTTCCGTCGGCAAAACAGCTCGTAGTGATACAATCCCTGCTCATGCCTTCATGATCCCAGCTGCTCGCACTCGATTTCAACTTAGGCAGGTCTCCGGCTTCAGGTCCCGATAAATGATCTTCTTTCCTCGGTCCGCCAAAAGCATCCAAACGCTTATGGAGCCTTGACACAGAACTCCCTGCGGCCCAGCATCCATGCAGATGGTCGAAAGCCAAGACCACGCCAGCAACATAGAATTTTGCAAAGTTGTCCTTCAATCAGAAGGACAACTGGCAGAGCTAACGTGGCATGCCGCGTGCTTCACCGGCGTCGCTTTTGTCGGCTGATGGGCTGGCCGAAAAATCCGTTCCACGCTCGCCCCCCGTTCTTCAGGGGGCTCCTACGTTTCAGCTCTATACATTTGTACACGACGATGCCTGGCTCGACGAGCAGCATCGTAAAGCCCCACACTACATGGGAACGTCACCTCCAAAAAGCTCGGAGAACGAAAGGAGACCCTCAGCGATGGGAGAAGGCTTCTTTTCGTGCCTGCGTCAGCTTTCCGCGAGGGCCTCCAGGCCCGACTTCTTGGAGCCCTTTCTGCCCCTTGGCTAAACGCGGCGCCCCAAACCAGCCCCTAACCGCAGCCCTTCAGCCCTTGCTGTCGGTTGCATAAGCCTCGCCCAGCGGCCGCTGTGATCCAGAGGAGGTCGGAATCTCTAAACCGAGAGCCAAGCGCCCTTCTAAGACTTCCTTCTTGTCTGTGCCCTGGGTGGACAGGGCACCGGACTGTGCAGTGCCTTGGACGGCTGAGCTCCGGACCGAAAGCATCAAGGAAGTCCTGGCAGTCTGTGCAATAAGGCTGCAGCTGTACGGCCGACTTGCCGTCGAGCAGCTTGGGACCCACAAAGGACGCAAAAAGCTCCATGATCTCCACATCTTCATCGTCGAAGTACTCCAGTTGCCCATCATAAGCGACCTGTGTGCTGACGACTAACACAACGTCCATCGTACAAGTTCTCTTTCTCAACCTTGTTGATCATCTGAATGACGCCGACGACGTGAGAGGTGTGAGACTCACCCCTTGCAATGATCGGGACAGCCAGGATACTCCTGGTCCGGTAGCCTGGTTTGCCATGCACTTGCACTGAGTGTCTCACAGTTTAATTGAAATCCTGCCTGTCTGGATGTCAACTTGCTTGTTGAAGCGTGGATCTGCGTATGCATCCTTGGGCCGCAGCCATCTTTAAGTACCAACAAACTGTAGGCCTCGGTGGCAAGAGGCCACTGCATCCGTACAACAGAGGGTTCCTTGTTCCGAGGAGACATGCTGCGGACACGCCGCACAAATAAAGCGGACTGAAACACAATGACATGCATCACTCGGTGTGGGCGACATGCCCATGAAGGGAGTATTATGTTCCGGACAATTCAGGCTTGAAAATCCTAACTCCTTCATATGCGCCAAACATTGGTTGGAACTGCCGTCGCGAGCCGCGACGTGTCGCGGCACCATTCAGCAGACGAGAAGCACGTGCGAAAGACGATATGCAGCACAGTCCAATGGATATGATGCGGCATCATGACTTCATCGTTGTCATCCTTCTTGCTATCACCGGCATCATCAGCTTTATCGTCATTGTCATCATGTCATCAATAGCATCAACATCAACATCCCCCAATGCGGGACGGCCATTTACCCGGGCAAGCGGTGCCGAAACTACAGTTTCGATAATGTCGTCATACGTAGAGGTCCTGCAGCAAGAAAGGCAGTGACTACGATGCTGACACTGGCGGAAACGATGCCGATGAATTCATGCAGCTCTTACTGACTTGCTCGGCCAACCCACGCCTGCTTTCAGGACGTCTTGAAAGGTGATTCCGGTACATGGCTTGGACTTATTGGACATAGGCGTCCTCGTGCTAGCACGGTCTGTTTCTCAAGGACGGTGTGCAGCTGTTACGTTGCTAAGGCTGCCAAAGAATCAGGGATGTTGATGACCTTTCCTTGGCAACAGCATTCTCCAGCAATACCTCAGTTTGGAAACTACAAGAGCTGGTCAGCACCTGATGCTTCTCGACGCAAGGCCACGGTGCCCTTGTCTTTGGGTATGCGGATCTCTGCCCCGGTGTCCGTGGAGACGGACCAGAGCTGCTGCGCTGCCTCGTCAAGGAGGAAGACGCTGCACCTGCTAACGCCACGCAGCTCTGCCGCTCTTCTGTTGCAAAGTCGCCCGCCTCTGCGCACTGCACACTTTGCTCCTGAGTAGCTCTTTTGGACCACACTCTCAGCCGTTCCATGTTAGTCTGCATAAGCCACCAGGGGGCGCGTGCATCGTGACCATCAGGAGCAGCGACTGAGGGCCTAGGTCCTGTGGCAGGGCTCCTACTATGTGGGCTCCGGGCTCCTTCAAGGTGGCCATGGCTCCTGTGACATGCTCTGGATGGTGTTGAGCAAGCCCGTGGCACGATCGCTGCAGTTGATGGCCTGTTTGTTCAGGGCTTAAGTTGGATCCTCTAACACCCGAAATACCCGAACTGACGTGAAACTTCATCTGCTGCTTCACCTCGCGGTACACTTCCGCGTTCTGAAGGGCGATTGCTATATGCTCGGCCAAGTGCAGGAGCATTCGCCTCAGATGCTGCCACTTGACCATCGGGCACAACTTGTTCGAAGGCGGGCAATCGATGGAGGCAGGGCACTCGTCCTGTCTGGAGAAAGGAATGGCGAGCTTTCCTCTTGGCCGGATCTCGGCATCAAAGCCGCTAGGCATCTTGTTGATAGCCTCGTGGACTGGAAAATTATGAATCATCATCGAAACTGACCCGACGAACCTAAGTCTCTAAATGCTCTGTTGCCTGGATGACTCCGGTGCACTGGCCCTCAAAGTCCACGATCGGAACCTTGGCCCCCGGATAGATCAATCCAAGAGCCCAAAAACCTCTCCTCAAAGTTCTGGTGTTTCCCGCACCAGCAGAAGACATGCGGATCAACATGATTTCAAAGGGACCACGATCATGCTTCTGGTGTGGTAGCCGGTTTCTTTGTCGAACGACTGGTCAAAGCGGCTGTCCTGGTACTTAATCAAAACAGCATTGCTAAAGCCCGAAAGAGCATCACTTCGCCGACGAAATTGCATGGAAAGTTGCAACAGTCCTGCCTTTTCTCGGCCGCGACTGACAGTCGCAGATGCGCTGGTAGATGTGAAACACAGGGTTAAAAAGACTCCCCGTTCTTCGTAATGCCGTAGGACAGCAAAGCCTGTAGTTATTTAGATACGTAAACGTATGTTGCGCCTGATGGCGACCAATCTGTCAACCAAGGCCCAGTTGCACACATTCGTGTGTCTCTGGGCAAATCAGACCCGTTCTTCTGCTACCTCGGAGTGTTCACACTCATCGTCCGCATCTGCGGCGGAGATAGAGAGTTCACACTCATCGTCCGCATCTGCGGCGGAGTTGTCGCTTGAGCCATCGTCACCGTGCTCATCCAGATCTGCGATGAGCTTCTCGACATCGATGGAATTTTGTGTCGAGGTGGGGGAACCCAAGCTGGAATCATCTTCTGAGCTCTGCCTGGAGTTGGAGACGTTCTGAAGATACTCGTGCATGGCTTCGATGCGACTTCCGAAATACTGCGGCGGGAAGTATACGTGGCGAGCGTTCATCAACTTCTCGCCCAATCGCTGCAACCTGAGCAAGTGCCTTTCACGCGGCTTCTGCATGCGGAGCCTCAGCAACTGTACCAGCATACTACCATAGAGACCCGTGAGCGCCTGCACAACACGCGACTTGTCGCACAAAACGTGTTCTCCCGTTGCGGTTTGGTGCTGTCGCACACAGCAGCCCAGGTCGCCAGAATATACGTCCAGCAAGTCCACGAACTGGGTCTGCATGCCATCTTCATCCATGAAAGGTAGCGGCTGCAGTACACCTCCACTAGTCAAGTACACCCGCTGTCTAAAACCTTCGTCTGAGTCGGTGGGCACCATATCCACGCTCACCGTGCGAGCCATGCTCCGCGAGACAAGAAAGCTTGCGTTCGTGTCTGTCCGATGGTGGCTCATGGCCGTAAGAACGGCGCAAAAAACTTCCACACGGCACCAAAAGCGATTCGAATAGGATGCAAAATTACAAATGGTCTTCTGCTCGGCATGCATCACCTCAGGGGCTACGATGATGAAGGCTGAACAGGCTGCGACGTACCTTAGGTCTCGACGGCAAATGTGGGGCTTGAACGTCTGCAATCGAAACTGCTACAGCAGCTGGCACTGACACAAACAGAAGAGGGCCAAGTGGCGCCGGTAGAGAGTTGATGGCAAGCTGTTGCTGCTCTGCAGAGCACTGCGGAATGCTACAGTAATCAACCCAGATGAAGATGTTGCTGATTGATAAGCTTCGCACCCGCACCATGTCCTCAATGGCCCTCACCATAGCAGTGTACTGATGCTCATCCGGATCTGGAAGCTGTGAGGAAAGCCATTGGTGCGAGAAGAAAACAATGCAGCCTTTCCTGCGAAGTTTTGCCGCCGCACGGGGAGTATCCAGCATGATCAATAAGTTCTTGTCCCGCAGCCGTTCATGCGGTGTCAACCTGCCAAGCTTTTTGAACTCCTGGGCTCGAACCAATGCCAAAGGGAACTGCATCACTCTGGAGGCCTTGATGAGTTTTCCAGCATCGCCTACATACTGCTGGTACTCGAGCTCTTCTGCCATGGCCTTTTTGTCCCGGTCCTTGATGACTTCCAAATAGAAGGCATTTCCAGTCATCAACAACACATCACAGAACAAGGCCACGATCACCGTGGCTTCTGCTGTGACGTCCAGTGGCTCTGCACCAAGCAACGTTTTAATCGATTCATGACGAACAGTGTGGGAAACCGGCAGCATGCCGAAGTAATGTACCACACTCGCAAGTGTCGCCACCAGGCACGAACCAGCACATCGCCAGAGCGTCTTGTTGGGCAGATTAGCGATAACCACCAGGATGGTGGAACAGCACACTAAACACACCAAGACGCTTAGCAGCACAAGCCACCCATCAAAGACGCAAACAAACTGGCCTTGCTCCGCCAACAGCCCGAGGTAGTGCATACTTCCCACACCAATAGAAAGCAACACCGTAGCTGCGGGCGTTCGAGTGTAGTGACTCTTAAAGACGACCGTCTGGCCGATTGACACGTGTATAGCCAGGCCAGCAAAAAGCCAGCAAACGCCAGCCGATAGCAATGTCAGCCCCAGTTCAAAGCCGACGGGTGTGTTCAGCTCCTCGTCAACATTGCTTCTCCAAAGCACGAAGGACCGCATGCCCACGAAGTGCATGCACCACACTGTGGACACCCCGAGGCCTAGACCACATTGCACTACCATCATGACATACCAACACGAGCTTCGCACAAGGCGAACGTACGAGGACGTTGTCAAGGTCGTAAATGCGCCGACTACGGCGACCATCACTGAGAGGAAAACTAGCAAGCTGTTGAAGACCATGTACAACACTTCACCGTCGCGAGGATCCCCAGCAGAACCACTCCGAAGCATCCTGCCACCGGAACTCGAAAGACTGATAGCCAGCGCTCTCTGCTTCTTCAAAGCTAAGACCACGAGGCAAAAAACGCTAAGAAGCGAAAGGAACCCCGCGAGGGTCCGTCTGCAGATCATTTCGGGGAGGAAATGCAAAGGTCGGCTTTACCGAACATCAAGCAGCGCCATGTGGGTGCATTTGCTCTGAAAGGCCATATATAACGGAATATCATGTCAAGATACTTGATGCGTGGCGGTGGCGCGACTACAGTACTGCCGTGTATGCTGACGCACTCCGTCGCAACCCTGGCTTTTACCGTAAACGGCGACAGGGGACCATGCACTCGCCACACCGGCATGTTCTGTTCGAGACTAGCACGGATGCATGCCCATGTTAATGCGCCAGAACCTACTGGTATCGGAGGTGTTTTGTCAAGTTGCACTGACCCAAGCATCTTTCACTTCCAGGGCTGTGGTTCGTTGGTCGCCATGTCGCTGCACTGCAAGCCGTGCTTGAGCTGTACTGTGCTGGCCTCTGCTTGCCCTTCCTAGGTTTTCAGTCAACTTCGCACAGGTCCTGGTAGCAGTTTGGGATGTTGACTGGTTCCTGCGTAAGGAACACAGTGCCCGCAATGCCTTGACCCAGCCTGGCAGTTCCAGAGCAAGAACACGGATCTCTACACCTTCATGACATGGGGTGAAACCCTGACTGGGAACAAGTGCTAACTCTGGCCAAGGAGACTTCACCATGACTGGAGCTTCAGAGTTTGACTCATATAACCGAAGCATCTGCATCTTCCTGTCCAACACCTTCAGGCAATTGCTGGAGCTGTCGCACTGATACAGTGTTGGCCACTACAGGACCGATCTCTCGCAGTTGACCAAGCCAAGCCCCTCACATAAAGGGACACTGCATCACAGCTCAACAGCTCCAGCGTCTCGGAGATGGTGATGTCTGGAACCAGGTATTGCCACCAAAGCTGTGTGCAAATTAAGCGTTCAACGCTTACAAAAGCGACAAACAAAGAGGCCCATGAATGAACAGGGAACCAGCGTCAGGACACGCTCTGTTGCCTGACGATTTGGCTTGTGTTTTTCCCGAAAGCATCGCGAAGGGTTCTTCCGTGCGAACTACATAGGATCAAGTACACAGAGCCAGCATACAGAGCATAGTACACAGAGTGAAGTACATCAGTGTGAAGTACATGTAGAGAACTACATAGGATCAAGTACACGGAGTCAGCATACAGAGCATAGTACACAGAGTGAAGTACATCAGAGTGAAGTACATTTAGAGAACTACATAGGATCAGGTACACAGAGTCAGCATACACAGCATAGTACACAGAGTGAAGTACATCAGAGTGAAGTACATCGAGTGAAGTGCATAGTACACACGAGTGAAGTGCATCGAGAAGTAGACAGAGTCAATTACATCGAGTCAACGACTTTATCTACATCTCGGTATATCTATCTTTCTTGTCTTTCTTTCTAAACCCGGAACCAGCACCGACGCCATCGATCGGGAATGCAACCCTTACCATGGATTGGCGTGGTCGAGCGCGCGAACGCGAGGTAAAGTTGCACCTTGTCGGCGTGACGCGCAACCCTTACCATGGATTGGCGTGGTCGAGCGCGCGAACGCGAGGTAAAGTTGCA